TCCTCTAGGTTTCTTGCCATGCTGCGGATGCAAGCTTCAGACGAAGAAGTGAATGATGTGTGCTCCCGGCGCCTATTTATACTATAGTCGCACCGGTAGTGACATCATGGCTGTCGCCGGCCAACGAGTTGGTGTTTTTTCAATGTATGCTTCAGACACGGGTCACGACGAGGCTTTTCCCATAGCGACCCCTAGAGGACGCAGTGTCTCGTTCCCTACGCAGGGAACCATGGTTACATAAGTAACCTGAGACGTTTTCAACATCGATAGTAATCAAAAATGTTTCCTGAGCATCAAATTCAGTATTATTTCTGAAAAATTCAGCTTTGCTATCACAGGAATAAATTAAATTTTAAAATAGATTAAAACAGAAAACATTTCTTTTAAACTGTAATAATATTTAACAATTTTGCTGTTTTTACTGTATTTTTGATCAATTGGTGAGCATAAGAGACTTCTTTCAAAAACATTTTAAAAATCCCAAAACATTTAAAAAATCTTAATTATTCCAAACTTTTGTGTAGGTTAAAGGATGCAGCTATACATAAGAAAATTCAAAGGCTTTATGGTAAAATGCAATAAATCGTTGAGTAAAAAGTAAAAAGCAGTGCAATACTAAAAATGTTTCCTTTTAAAAAAAACTCCTTTCAATCCTCCTTTTACAAGTAATACCATTACCCTTAGATAATCAAAAAAACAAAACCTCATATTCAAGTTTCAGACAGATATCGCTCGGAGCTGTTCAGAACCGGTTCTAAAATCCTAACAAAGCTCTGACTCTATCAGACGATACAGGAGTGTGGGAAAAATGGCATCTCTGTTCATCAGCTGAGGTTCTTCTGTTCAGTTTTAACCCTCTGGCTCCTCAAGATGTCGTGGGAGACATGGTGACTGACGTCCACGGGACAGGACGGGACCCATGGAGGGGGACAGGCTCCTTACCGCAACCCCACTCAGAGGCACCAAGGAGGGGGAGATGCTGCGGTATCCCACCCCGCTACGGAAGTTCAGCTCCTGGGTGGGCAGCAGAGGCTTCAAGATGCTCACCAGGCAGAAAGCAGAGCCGCTCTTGGGAATGAAATTCACCTTGTTTCTGTCTGGGCAGAGATATGGAGGAATCTCCTGGAGAGGCCTTGGCCTGGAACAAAAGATGGAAATACCAGGTCATGGCACTTTTGTGAGAATGTATCTTTCATGCTGATAAGAATATGAATGTTCCTTGCATAAGTTAAATCCCCCACATTTAATTTTTATGTGAGGAAACCTTTATTACAAAATAACCAAGTCTTGACATTTTCTACACATGGAGTACAAATGGGTGTACCGTTATTTTTTTCAGTGCAAGGTCTCATCTCAGCGGTACTTTTATTCAATCTTTAAACGTCTGTTATTTATTTTTGCATTTTTTGAAAATAACAAAATCGCTCATTTTTTAACTGTATTCAAAACTAATTTTGGTAATAGGGTTGAAAAATACTAACATCATTTGAAATAAATACAAAATAAAACAGATGAGTTGGACAAATGACATTTTCTAAAGTACAGCACCACCTTCAACTGAATCTGTGTTGAAAATGAAGAAACACTGATTTCATTTTAGAGTTTCAAACCCTATTTTATACTTTATTCATGGGTAAAAGACCTTACTCCAACGGACAGGCAAAATGTCTACAAAGCGCTTACTTACTGGATTTCTTCAAAAGCTTTAACTCTCTCACAGCCCTCCGGAGGCTCACGTTTGAACATATAGCTGTTGTTGGGCTTTGGAGAGGAAGCATATTTGGGCAGAGGGGACCAAGGTCCCAGGTCTAAGACAGAAAAAGGAATATTTATGATTCAAATAGTTTGATTTTAGGCTATTGTGTGATGATGATGGTGATGTGTGTGCTTCTGACCTCTTTCTTTGCTCTCATTTAGCGTTTCATCGAGCGGGCTGTTTCCCACTGTGTCGTTGAGGATGCTGAGGTACGAGGGTGAGACAGAGTCAGCCCGGCTGCTGCTGTTGCTACGGTTACTGCCGAGCCCGCCGTTGGAGGGCGTCTGTGTGTCAATACTGCGTGTGCTGCTGCTGCGCTGGGGGAGGGGAGGGGGCGCACGGTGCCCATCAGGAACGTCCTGAGGCTAAAACACATATGCACATTTGCTTAATTAGGATGTGTAGGACAAAAGCAATTCTTTTCACTGGATTCCACTAAACATCACATTAGTATTGATTGTGCACTGATCCCTATCCACCTTTTTCCTAATGAGGATACTGCTTTTTAAATTATGGGAGGCACTTCTGGTTTGGAGAAGTACTGTTCAAAATCATAAGGTTGTGCTACAAACAATCTATATCCATCAGTCTGACTAAATGAGATGTACATTT